GTCTGTGGTGTTGGGCGCGGGGGCGGGGAGGGGCGGTTGGGCGGCGCGACAGCATCTCTCTTTATGTGGGAAGAGAAAGAGGTGTAGCAGAGTGGACCTGGCCCTGCACAACCAGGAGGAAAAACCCAAAAGGTAGCATTGCCATGTCAGTTGGCACTTGTTTACAGCCTACTCCGTTAGAGCCATTTCTTTTCTCCTCTTTCCAGGCCCTACTCTTTCCCTCCCAACACCAGCCTATTTTCAAATCCACCTACCCTCTGTCAGTTTTCTTTCTGCCATCTGAGTCTGAGGATCAGGGAAGAGTTCACAACTAGTCTCTGCTTAATTTTTTTTCTGTCGATCATAACAGATGTTTCCCAGGCTAACTGAAGCCCCCATAAAAGCCCTGTATGTTGTAATTGAAAAAGCATGGATTTTGAACCGAGAAGACTTGAATTAGAATGCCAGTCTCCCTAAACACTAGATGGTGACTTTGGACAAATTATTTAACCTATTTGAGCCTTTCATCCTCTACCAAATGCAGATAATGATATTTGTTTTGCTCACTTGAGAGGGTGGTTGTGAGGACTAAATAAACGATTGTGTGTATGTAAGCTTTTTAAAAAAAAAAAATTAGAAAAGTATTGTGCCCACTTGTTGATTCTAGATCATGATGCTGCCTGAGGGGCAAAGCAGGAACTCCAGCCTTCAAACCTCTCCTTTCCTGACTCCTCCTTCTTCAAGCCCCTTCTTGGTTGAAGATAAGTACATCCCTGTAGCCTTTAGCCCTAGCTTTTTCTTGGTCCTTTCCTTTCCAGGTCATGTCATTTGTACCAGTTTCCCTAGCATGGTTTAGGAAGGTGGCACCATCAAAGAAAAGGGGCTTCTGCTATCCAGCCTCTCTCTTCTCCCCATCCACTTAACCCTGGTCCATACTATCCACTTCAAAATGATTTCATCTGAATACTTTCTTTGTTTTTCTTCCAACCTGGGGAAAGGGGGAGGTGAAACTGCCCTTGTGTTTGAGTGTTATAATATTAAAATATTTAAAATATTAAAATCCCCCTGTTGGGGAATTAAAGCCATAAACTAAACTAGCTGTATGGTAAGAGAGAAGATACCATTATTCTGCCCATAGCAAAATTATAGCAGCTAACACTTTGAGTATTTAACTATGTGGCAGGCACTGTGCTAACTGCTTTACATGGAATAGGTCTCAATCCTTACAACAACCTATAAGGGAAGTACTATTTTATTCCCATGTTGCAGATGAGGAAGCTGAGACCCGTAGAAGTGAAGTGACTTACCAAATAAAGATAAAAGTGCTCAGTTTCAGACTGGTATGGAGTTGGTGCTCAAGAAAATTTTAAGTAGAATCATGGACAGACTCCATTTGTTCTGCATAGATGGCATCATTAGTCTTGGAATACAAATTAAAACTCCAAGTGCAGATTTAGTTCTTTAAATAAAATTGGCATTACTTTTGGTGCTTGGCAAGGCTGTGAGTGCCCACAGGTGGTATGCTGCCACACGTCTATTTTATTCATTTATTATTATTGTAAGTTTCTGGGAAGGATTAGGCTTGCTGTAATAGCTAGCGATTAAAATGTCTCCCCTGTCTCTCGTTAAATTGCTGTTTCCACAAAAGGGAGAGACTTCTGTTTTTTCCATCTCAGGACAAAGAGATAACCGTGAGCTTGTAAGTTATTAGTTACACCTGTCAAATGCAAACGTGACTTTTATTTTTGGTTCTTCCTTGAGTTTTCTCCTGTACTTAGGAAGACTTTCAAAAAAACTGTATAGAAGTGTAACATACATATAGAATAGTCTATAAATTATAAGTTTATACTCCATGAATATTCACAAACTGTACATACCCATGTAACCAGCACCCAGATCAAGAAACAGAACATTACCAGGAGTCCCCTCATTCCTCTTCTAGTCAGTACCCTCTCAAGGGTTACCATTATCCTGACTTCTAACAGAATAGATTAGTTTACACTTTTTTGCACTAAATATAAATGGATTCACATATACTCTTTTGTGTCTGGCTTATTTTGCTCAACATTAGGTTTGAAAGATTCATCCATATTATTCCTTAGAGTTATAGATAATTCTCATTTCTATATGGTGTTCTATTTTGTTAACATGCTGCATGTTATCCTGATTTATCATCTTCCGTTGATGGGGAATTTCCAGACCTGGCTGTTACAAATATAGCATTCTTTTGATGGATATACATACACATTTTGGTTGGCATATACATAGGAGTAGAATTCCTGGATCATAAGATATGCTTACATTCAGCTTGGCCGGGCGTGGCTCAGCGGCTGAGCATCAACCTAGGATCCAGGCTATCAGGGTTTGATTCCCCGATCAGTCACATGCCCGGGTTGTGGGCTCGATCCCCAGTTGGGGGCGTGCAGGAAGCAGCCGATCAGCCGATCAATGACTCTCTCATCATTGATGTTTCTATCTTTCTCTCTCCCTCTCCTTTCGTCTCTCTGAAATCAATAAAGATATATTTAAAAAAAAAAAAAAAAAGATATGCTTACATTCAGATGGAGTAGATACTACCAATTTTCCACTCTCACCACCTATGTGTGAGAGAGGAACTGTCTTTTTAAGTTATAACCTTAGGATTTCACAGCGATTTTTGTAACATATCAGATCTACCCAAAAGTTCAGTGACTCTCCTCTCTGAACAAGAATTTGTTCTTTGTACTTTTCCCTCCCCCGCCACTTCTGTATCAGTTAGCACTGGAATTCTTTTTTTAAAAAAATATGTCTTTATTGATTTCAGAGAGAGGAAAGGAGAGGAAGAGAGAGACAGAAACATCAATAGTGAGAGAGTCATCGATAGGCTGCCTCCTGCACGCCCTGACTGGGGATGGAGCCCGCAACCCGGGCATGTGCCCTGACTGGGAATCAAACCCCAGTCGCCTGGATCCTAGGTCGATGCTCAACTGCTGAGTGCACCTGGCTGGGCAGCACTGGAATTCTTAATTACCTTTCCATTCTTGAATGGAACCTTATTAATTAGTATTTTCAATTAACAGTAATTGAGTTAACATTAATTAATTGAGCAGTTTCAAGTGGCTTGGAATTTTTTTAAATTACTCTTTATTTTTTATTATTATTTTCTGTTAATCCTCACCTGAGGATATTTTTTCCATTGATTTTTTAGAAAGAGTGGAAGGGAGAAGGAGAGACAGAGAGAGAAACATCTGTGTTAGAGAGACACATCGACTGGTTGCCTCCTGCACATGCCCAGATCAGGGCCAGGGTTTGGGACTGAGCCTGCTATCAAGGTACACACCTTTGACGGAATCAAACCCACCAGCCTTCAGTCCCTGGGCTGACACTCTAACCACTGAGCAAAACTGCCTAGGGCTGGCTTGGAAATTTACTGTGGTGGTTAAGAGTGTATGCTTTGGAGCCAGACTGTCTGAATTCAAATCTCAACTCTGCTACTTAACTAAATTTGTGACCTTGGCAAATATGCAACTTCTCTGTGTCTCAGTTTATTCATCTGTAAAATGGTGGCGATAATAATAGTACATATCTCACAGGGTTGTATAAGGATTAAATGAGTTAATATTTGTAAAAGTGCTTAGACCAGTGCCTGGCACATCATACATGCTTAATTTAGCTATCAATTACTATCTTCATTATTAGTTATTATTTACAAAACCCTATATTGGGAGTTGTTAGGGATACATAGTTGTCTTAGATATAGCAACTGCTCTCTAGGTTCTCTTAATCAAGTAAAGTGATGAGATGCCCAGCATAAGATCCAAAAATGAAAATGAGAACTTTCATGAGCGGGACAAATGAAAGGAACAAATGAAATACTATTGGAGTTTAAAGGCAAATAAGCTCCAGTTCTAGATGAGTGTGAGGAGTATGAAATGAAGAAAGCTTTATGGAAGGAGTGGCATTTAAGCTGAGTGTGAATAATTGATAGGATTTTACTCTTCAGAGATTGGGAAGGTGAAAGGCACTCCCTACCAAGGGAATTGCAACAGCATAAGCTCAGGGGCAGGTAACTCATTAGGGTAAGGCAGTGAGAGGAATGTTTCAAGGAATTAACTTGGAGAGAGAAATTTTGTAGATTGTAGAGGACCTTGAATGTTACATTGACAATCTGAATTTGGTTCTATAGGTA